TAGCTGCTCTAGTTGTGTTGTACCTCGTAGCTGCTCTAGTTGTGTTGTACCTCGTAGCTGCTCTAGTTGTGATTGTACCTCGTAGCTGCTCAAGTTGTGTTGTACCTCGTAGCTGCTCTAGTTGTGATTGTACCTCGTAGCTGCTCTACTTTTGATTGTACCTCGTAGCTGCTCTAGTTGTGCTGGACCTCGTAGCTGCTCTAGTTGTGAGTGTACCTCGTAGCTGCTCTAGTTGTGTTGTACCTCGTAGCTGCTCTAGTTGTGAGTGTACCTCGTAGCTCCTCTAGTTGTGAGTGTACCTCGTAGCTGCTCTAGTTGTGATTGTACCTCTAAGCTGCTCTAGTTGTGTTGTACCTCGTAGCTGCTCTAGTTGTGAGTGTACCTCGTAGCTGCTCTAGTTGTGTTGTACCTTGTAGCTGCTCTAGTTGTGTTGTACCTCGTAGCTGCTCTAGTTGTGATTGTATCTCGTAGCTGCTCTAGTTGTGATTGTACTTCGTAGCTGCTCAAGTTGTGATTTTACCTCGTAGCTCCTCTAGTTGTGAGTTTACCTCGTAGCTGCTCTAGTTGTGATTGTACCTCGTAGCTGCTCTTGGTGTGATTGTACTTCGTAGCTACTCTAGTTGTGATTGTACCTCGTAGCTGCTCTAGTTGTGATTGTACTTCGTAGCTGCTCTAGTTGTGATTGTACCTCGTAGCTGCTCTAGTTGTGATTGTACCTCGTAGCTCCTCTAGTTGTGTTGTACCTCGTAGCTGCTCTACTTTTGATTGTACCTCGCCTCGTAGCTGCTCTAGTTGTGTTGTACCTCGTAGCTGCTCTAGTTGTGATTGTATCTCGTAGCTGCTCTAGTTGTGTTGTACCTCGTAGCTGCTCTAGTTGTGATTGTACCTCGTAGCTCCTCTAGTTGTGAGTTTACCTCGTAGCTGCTCTAGTTGTGATTGTATACCTCGTAGCTTCTCTAGTTTTTATTGTACCTCGTAGCTGCTCTAGGTGTGATTGTACTTCGTAGCTGCTCTAGTTGTGATTGTATACCTCGTAGCTGCTCTAGTTGTGATTGTATACCCTGTAGCTGCTCTAGTTGTGTTGTACCTCGTAGCTGCTCTAGTTGTGATTGTATCTCGTAGCTGCTCTAGTTGTGATTGTACCTCGTAGCTGCTCTAGTTGTGAGTGTACCTCGTAGCTGCTCTAGTTGTGATTGTACCTCGTAGCTGCTCTAGTTGTGTTGTACCTCGTAGCTGCTCTAGTTGTGATTGCATCTCGTAGCTGCTCTATTTGTGTTGTACCTCGTAGCTGCTCTAGTTGTGATTGTACCTCGTCGCTCCTCTAGTTGTGAGTGTACCTCGTAGCTGCTCTAGTTGTGATTGTATACCTCGTAGCTTCTCTAGTTGTGATTGTACCTCGTAGCTGCTCTAGGTGTGATTGTACCTCGTAGCTGCTCTAGTTGTGATTGTACCTCGTAGCTGCTCTAGTTGTGATTGTATACCCTGTAGCTGCTCTAGTTGTGAGTGTACGCACAATTACAAATATGAGAAAAAAAATCTATGGATATTAGAAATTCAGATCATTTCTGTTCTTCTTGATAGCTCTTCAATACGAGGAGATATGAATGAAAACATGACCAGAAATTTACTTCAATTTGACGTGATGTCCTCCTCAATTTATTTCAGATTGAAGGGATACCTTTGTGCCATTTTAAACTCAAAAAAGATAAACTCGGCCTTTTGTATTCAGCATCAGTGCCCTGCCTGCCTGCAAGCCTTTTTCGCTTCAGTATGTTGTCATAGCCTTAAAAAAAGATACATTAGAGGTCTAATATGAGACCATAGGAATAATAATACCCTTTTTTAAATGCATAGGATGCATAAATGCATAGTTTATATACATTTTATACATCGTTAACGTCATATATTCATATATACCATGAAGCATAGGATGCATAGATGCATAGACTTATATAAGAAATATATACAAGTTTATATATGGCTGCATAGGATGCATAGATGCATAGATGCATAGACTTATATAAGAAANTCTCTGACATGGTTCTAAAATTTAGACTTAATAGAATGGTCTACCAACCACTTAGTTGTCTAACAATGTTTTCATAAAATAAAGTTGTAAAATCAATATTTTAGATAAAGCTCATACGCAGTAACTGATTAGACTATTCTATTAAGTTAACTTGATATGCAGAGCATCTACTCCTTTTGTAATATTATTAAACACAGAAATGCCTTTAGAAGATTTGTAGGTATGCAGCAGAGACATAAAACATTGTTTTACGAATTCAATATGTATTAAGAGAGTCTACACTCTACAGTCCCTTTAATTATAAATAATTTTCTAAATTCCTAGTTTAGCCTCAGATGTTAACTGGGATTGATCACAGTCCCAAAGCTTTGAACGTTCAAGATTACACTTAATTATGATTGAATTTTTGTTTCTAAAATCAATTTGAAAAAAAACCATTGCAATTTAAGATCAAAGACACAAAAATCCAACCATATTATCATTAAATAAAAATTTATCATCTATATTTCTGTATTCCTTTAGATAAAGCTCACAGTATTTAATTGTTGGAATTGCTACTTGCGATGTACTTTCAGATCTGTATAAAGGTGACCAATATCTAATTATTCCGCCAGAAGTAACAAAAAATAAGTGCCCCTGGAATGGACATTCATGGTTACCAATCCTGTGGTGTCCTTATTGCAATCTTTGTCTGTATCCAGTTTTTTTTAAACTAGATGAGTCTTTCATTGCAGTAGATCTTAAAATTCGATCAGTGCCAGTGGCTTCCCCTACAGTTTCAGATGTAACCTTGATTTTTCCTGAGATTTTTTCTAGAAAATTGTTTTTCTTCTTTCTATCAGAGATAGTGTAAGCATCAACATTACACCCTGCATACCTCAAGAAACCACGCAAATCCACTGGAATAACTGAAAGCATTATATAATAATATTTATATAATATATAATGAAAATAAGTACATTGTACAGTATGATATTTTACATAAAAGCAAAGAATGAAAATTATAGAATATGTGAATCCTTACCTAATTTAATTATTTGTTCTCCACAATCATTACAAAAAGCTGAGCCAGGCTTGAGGCTATTAGTGCAGTTCCGAGGATATTTGTCTGTAGCAATGTTTACTTCCTTCCTTGGTCTAACCGCTGAGCACGTTTTGTATCTAAAAAGTAAATACTTTAGACTATGAATATTTATAAGGTTTTAACATACATACCTTATCTTCCATATTCCATCCATGCTTGTACTCTTGGAACAAGCTCGAGGTTCACAAAATGGCTTTCACGATATTCTTCTTCTATGAGAAAAACCCAGAATTCACTACTTACTTGTTTTCTGTTTAAGTGATATTTCAGAAAATACATGGACTCATCTAATGTAGAAGACTCATCTTCATCAGTTTCCGATTGTGTACAGTCATCTCCATAGGTTTCAAAGACCTGAGAGACTAGTTTACTTTCTGTTCTGTAGATAACATGTTTTATGGCTATATTCAGTTTAGCTAGGGACGTGAAAAATATGTATGTGAATAAATTTTTAAAATGCTAGTTTTTGATGTTTTGAAAAGATTATACACTGGGAATATTATGTGCCCATTCCCTTTAAGACATTTGAAAATTTGGAAATATTTGAAATTACACAGACAGTCTCTAAAATTGGTAAAAAAATAAAGGAAACATAAAAAATACAAAAATAGCAGGTTATCAATAAAAACTTTTAATGGAATTTTGTCAGTATTTCAAGAAATGAAAAAAAAAAATATTAATTTGATAAGATTAAAATGTAAAAACAGCCCTGATCAACGCAAATGTATATTTTTGGCAAGATGCCAGCATTTCCTTTAAGCTTAGTTCCTAGTTCCTAGTTCATAGTTCATAGTTCACCAATAACATGAAAACAACTCCTTTGTTTACATACAGGGATACCTACAAAGGACTAGACTGTAAAGGGACTGTAAATGTATTTTTAAGTGATCATGTCATTTACAGACGTCCAATTCACAAAGTCGCCTCTTAAAACTCTCTCTGAGTAGCTTTGAGGAAGATATCATCATTTGTCTCTCTAAGAAAAGTGTTGAATTATGTACAGGAATTGAGTTTTTGCCACAAACTCTGATTTTATATCTTTGTGACCCGATGTCGTAGATCTTAGACATTTTAAACTATGAATTATGTTACATCAAAAAGTCGTAGTTTGAAAAATCAAAGGTTTACGCCATCAGGTTGCAAAGATTTAGGGATTAGAACATTTAAGTTTGTGCCTAAAACTTAATTCCTGTCCATCAAACATGAATATGCAAGTCACTTTCGAAGAAGACCTCCTTCACTGTGAAAAGCAAAATTCTGCTGAACAAAATTATCTCATTCAATCAATTGTTCAAACAAAGCTTTAAAGTTATAAAACTCCACTCTTGCAACTAGAAATTACAATTACTGTGATCTGAATTTGGTGTTCTGCACCTTAAGTCTTGTCTTTAATGTTTAATGAAAACGGTTTGGCTGAGAAAGAAACAACGTACAGTTGAACGGCTGAACAGTTGAACAGTTGAACAGTTTAACAGTTGAACAGTTGAACAGTTGAACACTTAAACAGTTGAACAGTTGAACAGTTTAACAGTTGAATAGTTAAACAGTTGAACAGTTGAACAGTTGAACAGTTGAACAGTTGAACAGTTGAACAGTTAAACAGTTGAACAGTTGAACAGTTGAACAGTTGAACAGTTGAACAGTTGAACAGTTGAACAGTTAAACAGTTAAAGAAACTTAAGAAACAGAAAGTCCTTGAAGTGTTCTCCCTTTTTGGAAACCCTTTCAAATCGATTTATTTGATAATAAACATATCTACGTTTTAAGCAAGGCCACAAAGAATGCTTTGTTTTAAACTCCGGCTTCAGCAATCTTTGATATAGAAAGAAAGCTTTCACAAGTTTTCTGTTTTTGTTTTAATCTTACATCTTTATTCATCATAGTAATTAACATTTTCATAAACTCAAGCAAAATAGAAAATAAAAAGAGTTAGAGAATAGTAGTGAAGGTTTGTTTTTGGTTGATTAAAGTTTTTCCTTCTTGTGTGGCAATTTGCAACTTTTTATTTTTTCACACAGCGTTTTGGCTTACGGAGAAAAAAATTAAATTCGACGGAGACAGACTCATTTTCAGTCCAACGAATTTTTAATTTTTAATCATAGATATAATTTTATCTCCGTTATCTTTTATCAGACAAGTTTAAGGTTTCCCTTGTAAATCGGACATGTCATTCTACAAATAGAGGGTTACAATTTCAATTACGTATACAGTCCCTTTACCTCTTAATCTCCTCTAGAAAGTAATCCTCCATGGTATCAGACCATCTCATTAATTTTGCATCAAATATACCGTATATACAGTATACACCCTCCTTAGCATGCTTTCTTTCATATTTTTTTCACATTTTTATTCAACTCTACAAAGCACGAGATAATACAAATAAAAAATCACAATTTACTATGTAGTTTGGACCTGCCCAACCAGAGTAGGTTGCTTTAATTGGTTGGCCCACTATAAACGAATGAGAATTGCAGAAATAAATACATATTGTAGTTGGATTCAAGAATTTTTTCTTAAATAATTTTTCTTTCTTTTTTCTTGACACTAGCAAAGCGGACGTAAACCAAGGGTTAATATAATTTTTATTTTTGTTTGGCTTATATTTAATAAATGGAAAACTTTCTTCATAAATATTATTTAAAGTGTTAGAAAATTCAGAAAAGGCTGTAGAAGGATCTTCATTTATCATAACATGAGTCCAGTCATTGAGTAACAATTTTTCCTTAAACTTGGCTTTATTTTCGATCGAAGTGTTTTAAATTAGAACTGGTTTGCTACCAATATTATCTTCATGTTGTGTACATTTAGACAATGAAAAAACGGGTAAATGGTCAGATAAACTTGAGTAGATGATTCCACATTCTTTTGACTCAGGATTTGAATTATTAGATATGTGATCTAGTAATGTTGCAGATATTTGATTAATACGTTTAGGGAGTGTAATTAGCGGAAGAAGTGAATGTGTTAACAGGGTGTTTAAAAGTTAGATGTAGCATTGTGAGAAGTGTGATTCAGCAGATTAATATTCAGGTCACCCATAATTTGAATTTCAGTAAACTTAATGATACCAGAGTTAGGAGGTCTATATACATTACCAATAATTCTAAATTTCTTTGAAGAAACTTTGACTTTTAAAAAGATAGATTCAAAAACTTTTTCCTCAAAGACAGATATATTTTCTAAGACCTCAAAATCATGTTCACTTTTTCTTAAAGGGATCCTCTACGTAATTTAATGTTTGACAAGGATTTTTACAATACAAGATGAAAATGTGGGCATTTTGACCATAGATTAAAAGCTTAATTCCTTGAATTTCTTCAAAACGCTATTTAATATAAACTTACGCCAACAATTCCTTTAATAATGTCCCTTTATTAAATTATTATAGATTCTACTGGGGGAATGAAACAGTAAATTGGATAAACGTTAAACCCTTTATTAAATACAAACACAATGAAAGGTTTTCCAACATTTTACTTTTCTAAGAAACAAAGTTTTGTAATTTTCAAAATACTTTAGGCAAGATAAAAATCATAAATTTTTTATTCATAACTTTTTTAAAGAACTGTTGAGCATAAAAAAAAAATCAATTGAAAATGTGTTACCAAAAAATGGTCTTTTCTCAAACTTTTCAAATAGAGGATTTAATCGATGTTACAAAATCGGAATTGTGCATTTAAACTATATTCCTAAGTCTACAATAGTAAAGTAATATAAAATAAAAAAAAGTAAGAGTTTGAAAAAATGGAGGAAAAACTTTTTTATTTTGTTGAAAAATTATGAATTTAGTTTTGCTATGTTAATTACAGTGTACAGTGTACAGTGTACAGTGTATAGTGTATAGTGTATTGTAATTGCGGCAAAAAATAAGGGCTTTTGATTGCTACTTATATTACTTCTATCTGTTGCGTCTTTAAGGAGAAGATATACGAATGAGTTGCAAAATAATCGATGAATATTGTTTGTAAGATCTGAATGATCTGTTTGGAATTTAATTGATTATTTTATGATCCGAGTTGAATGTTGCAACTTTCAGAATTTGTATGGACGCAACTTTTGTATGAGTCGTTTTTAACAATTTTCTCCTTATAGACGCAGCAGATAGAAGTAAGATTAGCTGCGATCAAAAGCGCTTATTTTTCGCCGTAAGCCTATACCCCCTTTCATTTAACGCGAACACTCCCTTGTAAAAACTGGTGTTTTTCAGATTTAGATTTTTGTCATAAATAAAAAATATGGATCCAAGAATTGGTAAGATACCTCTATTTATCTATCTATTTATATATCTATCTATCTATCTATCCATTTATCTATCTATCTATATATCTATCTATTTATCTATCTAACTTTCTATCTATCTTTCTATCTATCTATGTTTCTATCTATATTTCATATCTATCTATAATCTGTCTGTCTATCTATCTATGTAGTTATCATATATTTATCTATCTATCTATCTATCTTTTTATCTATCAACTATATATCTATATATCTTTCTATATATTTATCTATTTATCTGTATATCTATCATAGATCTATCATCTATCTACCTATCTATCTATCTAATCTACTAGGTGAGAATGGGAGAACTAGAGAGCTGAATACAAGAAATCCACTTTGGAACGTAAGACTTCTTTAATATCAACTTTTAAAGAACCTTTGACAGCAGTTATTACTTTTTCCAAAAATATCAAATAAATATTTAATATCGAAAAATATTGAGAAATTGATATCACAGATTGCAATACTTTTTGCGCAAGTGTAATTAAAGCAAATTTCCATATGACGGACAGTTTTTGTTTCATGAAAAATAACTGTTAAAGAATGTAACTTGTTAATCAAATTTTAAAAATAAAATAAAATAAATCCAAACAAAAAATTTTTTTTAATTGATAAATGTTTGGCTAAAATTGTATTCAGAGAAAAATGGCATAAAATGTTTTTTTTTTATATTTTATAAGAAGCATTTTGATTAATCGTTTTTGTTGATCTTTTTCAACAAATCGTTTCGAAAAAAAACATTAGCTTTTATAAGGAATTTTTTAATAATAATCATGTTTAGCTCTTTCTTGAGTCTGGCTCCACAAGTGCAACCATGTTTCTCAGGAAAATATTAAATAAAAAAAACATTCTTAAATTATCTTTTCAAGTTTAAAAATCAAAAAGAAATATTTGAAATTTGTGTTTGTATTTAATAGAAAATATGCAGTGTACAGTTTTCCCAATCATATTTCCATAGTCCTACTCCTTGGGTAGCCAGGTATACATTCATTTATTCATCTATTCATCTATTCACCTATTCATCTATTCATTTATTCATCTATTCATTTATTCATCTATTCATTTATTCATTTTGTGGACGAACTAGATCGCTGTCTTCCACTTCTTGGACAACCCAACCCAAATATATATTCCTTAATATAGTTTTCCTCGTTAGACTTTAGATTTTGATATATATTACAATCCATTTATTGATTTCGTCTCTTTGCTTGGCTACATTTTGGTAACTTCAATGTGATTTTGTTGCTGACGATTTTGGTTTCGACCGGGTCCATGTGTTTTTCACACCCAAAATACCAAAGTAGGGATTTCAGAAATTTTGAGAATTTTTCTTGCTATGTTCAGTATTGAAAAGTGATCGGTATGCCTGAATATCCGATAAGTGATGGGATTCAGAGCTTATTTCCCTTTAACCACAGTTTCCGTGAAACCTCCAACATTCTGGACTGACTCTACTGAGGTTTGGTTCTTGCAGGCTGAAGCTCAGGTTGAAAACAAAAGAATTACTTCGTTCAGGACAAGATTCACACACTGTGTCGGCACTCTGCCTCCGGATGTTGCCTGCAGACTCCTGGAACTAGTTAGAGCCCCACCAGCTGAGCCTTAGGAAGCTTTAAGAAAGCCCCTCATCCAGATGTACTCCTTGTGTGAGATTAATTTTCAGCGGTGCCAGGAGCCCGGCAAACTTTACTCTTGATGTCAGACCAACGACCCTCTGAGTTGACGGACTAGATGTTAATCCTTCTTCCTGAGGACGAGAAACCAGGATTTTTCTTCAGACGTCTGTTTATGAATCATTTCCTGGCTGATATGTGTGCACATTTGCTCTTTGAATCTAGCTGTGATCCTTGAGGAATGGCTCAAGACAGCTCAAGGTTTCACTTCTGGCTCTGCTTGCATGATCTGATTAGTTTTATCACCTTCCCCTGTATTACTGGGTCTCCGGAGCGCTCCTGAAGAAGATTCGCCAATTTTTTCCTCTGGAGCTGTTTTTGGTCCTCTGTAGGTCTACCCAGCAATTTCTGGAACTACCTGCTCCAGAGTATCTCCACCAAATCCAAGAAATCATGAAAAATAACCCAGTTTTTCTGCTGCATTATATTTCAGCTTTGTTAAATCCAGTTCAAGAGCAAGTTCTGCCAAGTATGCCCCTAGCTTCTCAAGTCTTTGTAAGAGAGGATTCCTTCAAACCCCTGCATAGGCCTTTATCTTGGGATCAAAGTATTTTTCTCTCCAGATTGGTTCCAAGACAGCCTTAAACCAGTTCTCTCCTAGTTCCCTATGACAGCTCAGGAGCCCCATGCCCAGGTAGACCCCATTTCCTCTGTCTCTGGTGACTCCAAAACCTCCTGCTCCATTACATCCAATTCCAAGTTTTTCAACAACTTGTTCAACAGCTGAAGGTTCAAAGAAGAAGGTTCGATTCCTCCTCCAGTCCTTGTTTCATCCTCAGTCTGGAAAAACTATCCAAGGTTTGTCAGAGATAAACATCATGTTTCTCTAAAATATCTCAAGATGCTGGGGGAACCCCTGTGAAGGAGCTAGATCATTGTCTTCCACTGCAGGAGCAAACCAAACCAAATAGATATTCTGTTAAATATTTATCCTCATTATACTTTAGATTTCAATATAACTCGTCTCTTTGCGTTGCTAAAATTTGTTTATTTATTAATTTTTTCATGTATTAATTATTTCATTTATGCATTTATTCATTTATTAATTTATTCTTTCATTCATTTATTCATCCTTTCATTTTTTTTCATTTACTTATTGATTATATACCTATTATTCAATCCTTAAATTATTAATTTATTAATTTATTCATTCTTTCATATTCAGTATTTAACTATTTATTTTTTAATTATTTATGGTTAGGTTAGTTTAAGATGTTGAAATGCATGTTCATAGCCCAATTTGCAAGACCAGCTCATTTGAAAAACATTAGACCGATAACTTTGATAATTTGGGTGCTAGCTAGAGAGTTCAGAATTCAGAAAGTTGCAACATTTAACTCGGATCGTAAAATAATCAATTTAATTCCAAACATATACATATACATATACATATATAGTCATCGATTATTTTTCGCGCACTCATGAAAAGTTAATATTTCATAATATTTTTGATTTTGTTTTTTATCAAAAATCCTTGAATTAGGAATAAATGTTTTCAAAAGTAACTATCTGATCATAAAAAAAAATAAAAAATAATATGAAATATCAACTTTGAAGAATGCGTCGAAAAATTATCGATGATTATTGGTTGTAATATCTGAATGATTTGTTTGGAACTAAATTGATTTTTTGCGATAATGTTGCAACTTTCTGAATTTGTATGGATGCTACGTTCTTCAGCATGAGTAGTTTTTAACAATTTTCTCCTTATAGGCGCAACAGATAGGAGTAAAATTAGTAGCGATCAAAAGCACTTATTTTTCGCCGTAAGCCTATACCCCTTTCATTTTTCACAAACGCTACCTTTAAGTAGGTTGAAATTTATAGAGAAAAATCGGGCAAAGCTAGGGTTTCCAAGCTATAGTGATTTATAATCCCATTAACTTACTGACTTCGCGTTTAGGAAATAAATATTTCTGGTGAAAGGTCGGCTTCATACAACGTGAAATCGGTTCTAGGTAAAATTAGTTTTTTTTAAAGCATGGACTGACATATCTGATTCACAGCAATATACTTTAATGCTTCGGCTGATTAATAATGCATGTTTTATCCATAACTTTTTTATTCAAAATTGATTATTTTCCATTATGGTTTCTCTGTAAATTGACTTTTTCGTTTCTGCCTTAGGAATAATGGAGGCAATTTTCAGAATTAAACACTTTTAATATGCACAAAAAATGAACCTAAAAAGCTTTGATCACAACGACAGATGTGTCTAATTTTAGTTTATCACCTAAATATATTCTTTTCTTGGAAACAAAAAAATTGGTACAAAAACTAGTTTACAGCTGAGCCATAAATGTAAAGTAAAATGATAAATAAATGCTGTACCGTGTTATCTCTCAACTCTCAAGTCTCATTGTTTGTGAGTAATCCTGTAGCTCTTTAGTCTCAAGTATTATTTTACAGTATGTTTGTATAAATTAAATTTCGTATTTGATATTATACAGGGTGTCCCAATCAACATGGCAATTCAATAACGAATTCTATATCGTCTTTTTATGAATTAGCATTGTAATACCTAATTGTAAAAGGCGTAATATTATTATGTCTACTAGAGTTTATTTTATGAAAACGGTAAATGGTTGTACAGATGTGTCTATAATGTCTTCTGAAGATAAACAGTGAAGACAGACAAGTTTACTCTGTTTGTATAATGTAAATATGGCAGAATTATTTAAAAAGAAGATATCGAATTCGTCACTGAATTCCCATGTTTATTGGAACTACCTGTACTAAATATTTAGATGGGGAGATTTACTCTGCTGTGTTCGCTACTAGTGAGGTTGATAAGGTAAATGAATGAAGGGTCGCGTGAAACCGTTTTTCAGGGACAAAAGCGGCATTTTTCCTTTGAAGATAGGACATATAATATTCTGGACATTGTCTGTCCCGAATATTCCGGACATCTGGACAATGCTGGATAACTGAATCCCTCCAGTGGAATTATAACCCCACAGGAAGGACATCTGAATCCCTCCAGTGGAATATAAATCACCCTGCGTAAAGTTTTAAATTATTAAAAGCATTTTTTCAAACCCCTCCAGTGAAAAAGAATTCCCTCCGGTGGTGTCCAGTGGAGTCAAAATCTTACTACGAACTTCCGTGACTCCCCAAAATATTGTTTTTGGACCACTATCGTGTTTTTCTAAATTAACCGGAAAAATATTAATTAATTAAGACCTGAAAGCAGTCATCGACCATAGAAAAAGCTTGCAGCATTTCTGTTTGACAATCTAATTCTAGCCATAATTTTGCATGCAAAAATAATCACAAACAGCCCTAGTCCTGCCATTTCCAAAATGGGGTCTGCCATTTCTTTGCTTTTAAATTGCCAGAGATTTTAATAATTTTGTTAAAACTTCAATTTATTTCATAAAACCATGAAAGAGTCTACTGTTTAATTCTGCGAAAGAAATCATTCACATTTTGGAAATGGCTATTTTGTGATTATTGTTTCATAAAAAATATTGTTAAAATTAAGTTGCTTATGATAAATGCCGCAAACAATTTCTAAGGTCTTAATAAATTCACTAATAATATTCCGATTTGTTAAGAATTTAGCCCTGCAGAAAAATCATAGTTTTTTCAAAAACTACGCAAAATAATATATATTTTCATAAAAACAAATGGCTACTTAAGTGTAACATGAATTATGATTAGTAATAACTCAGCTTACAAAATGTATAAGACAGAACTAGCTTTAAAACAATAAACTAATGAAATCGTTATCAAATTAAACACATAATTTGTCTATTTAGTAAGAGAACAACATGGATTCCACTCCTGCAAGATCTAGGTAAAAAGCATCAAATGTTAATTTACAGTTTAACTCAGAACTTGGTACATCGAAAGAATTTACAAAATGTCGTCTTTACAATTTTTCAATGGTTTTATAATATTATACCTAAATCTCAGAAAACTAAATGTTATATATTCTTAAGTTCCGGGTTAAACTATGAGTGCAACAATGTATCTTAAACGGTCGATAGATTTGAAATTTCAAAATGGCCAACATGGATTTCTATTATGACTAAAATGTATTTCTAAAATGACTAACATGAATTTCCAAAATGGCCGACATTTTTTACTAAAATGATTGAAATGTATTTTCAAAATGGCCGCCAAATATTAATTCTAGCTCGTCAACAG